AAAACTGTCAATGCTACGTTGTTGGCTAATGGTGAGCCTCTCTTGTTCTATGTCTTGTGTTCTATGTCTGTTGTTCGAAGTCTGTTGTTCTATGTCTATCGTTCTATGTCTCTTGTTCTATGTCTTTTTTTCTATGTCTGTTGTTCTAAGTCTGTTGTTCTATGAATGTGGTTCTATGTCTCTTGTTCTATGTCTCTTGTTCTATGTCTTTTGTTCTATGTCTGTTGTTCTAAGTCTGTTGTTCTATGAATGTGGTTCTATGTCTCTTGTTCTATGTCTCTTGTTCTATGTCTTTTGTTCTATGTCTGTTGTTCTATGTCTGTTGTTCTATGTCTGATGTTCTATGTCTGTTGTTCTATGTCTGCACATATTCATCACATATGCTGCTGTTACTGTCTATTATCTATCCTGTTGCCTAGTCACTTTACCCCTACCTACAGTGCCTTCGGAAATTATTCAGATCCCTTGACTTTTTCCACATTTTGTTACGTTACAGCCTTATTCTAAAATTGATTCAATATTATTATTTTCTCAACACTCTACACACAATACCCCATAATGACAAAGTGAAAACATATATATATTTTTTTTGTCATAGTTGACAGTGCATGTCAGAGCAAAAACCAAGCCATGAGGTCGAACGAATTGTCCGTAGAGCTCCGAGACGGGATTGTGTCGAGGCACAGATCTGGGGAAAGGTACCAAAACAATTCTGCAGCATTGAAGGTCCCCAAGAACACAGTGGCCTCCATCATTCTTAAATGGAAGAAGTTTGGAACCACCAAGACTCTTCCTTGAGCTGGCCGCCCGGCCAAACTGAGCAATCGGTGGGAGGTACCCCGTGTATATAGACAAGTTATATCGTTACTCATTGTGAATTTGTCCTCGTGTTATTATTATCGTTAAGTTTCCATTTTTCTATTATATCTATATAAAAAAAATATTGTTGTTGAGAATCATTTCACTGTTGTTTCCGAAGCATGTGACAATGTTTTTTTTTTTTGTTGGGGGATTCATATATTCACTCTCTGTGTCCCCTATCCTCCCGGCCGGCTCGGTCCTCCCCTCCAGCTCCGTGGCTTGATGACTCACTGCGAGCTCACAGAACAGAGCTCCGGGCAGCGGAGCGGAAATGGAAGAAAACTAAACTCCCTACCGACCTGGCATCTTTTCACTCCCTCCTCTCTACATTTTCTTCCTCTGTTTCTGCTGCTAAAGCCACTTTCTACCACTCTAAATTCCAAGCATCTGCCTCTAACCCTAGGAAGCTCTTTGCCACATTTTCCTCCCTCCTGAATCCTCCCCCCCCCCCCCCCCTCCTCTCTCTCTGTGGATGACTTCGTCAACCACTTTGAAAAGAAGGTTGACGACATCCGATCCTCGTTTGTCAAGTCTAATAACACTGCTGGTCCTGCTCACACTGCCCTACCCTATGCTTTGACTTCTTTCTCTCCCCTCTCTCTCCAGATAAAATCCTGCGACTTGTGACTGCAGGCCGCCCAACAACCTGCCCGCTTGACCCCATCCCCTCCTCCCTTCTCCAGACCATCTCCGGTGACCTTCTCCCCTACCTCACCTCGCTGATCAACTCATCCTTGACCGCTGGCCATGTCCCTTCCGTCTTCAAGAGAGCGAGAGTTGCTCCCCTTCTCAAAAAACCAACACTCGACCCCACTGATGTCAACAACTACAGACCAGTATCCCTTCTTTCTTTTCTTTCCAAAACTATTGAGCGTGCCGTCTTTAGCCAACTCTCTTGCTATCTCTCTCAGAATGACCTTCTTGATCCAAACCAATCAGGTTTCAGGACTGGTCATTCAACTGAGACTGCTCTTCTCTGTGTCACGGAGACTCTCCGCACTGCTAAAGCTAACTCTCTCTCCTCTGCTCTTGTCCTTCTAGACCTGTCTGCTGCCTTTGATACTGTGAACCATCAGATCCTCCTCTCCACCCTCTCCGAGATGGGCATCTCCGGCACGGCTCACTCCTGGATTGCGTCCTACCTGACCGGTCGCTCCTACCAAGTGGCGTGGCGGGAAGCTGTCTCCGCACCACGTGCTCTCACCACTGGTGTCCCCCAGGGATCGGTTCTGGGCCCTCTCCTTTTCTCCCTATACACCAAGTCACTTGGCTCTGTCATATCCTCACATGGTCTCTCCTATCATTGCTACGCTGACGATACACAACTAATCTTCTCCTTTCCCCCTTCTGATAACCAGGTGGCGAATCGCATCTCTGCATGTCTGGCAGACATATCAGTATGGATGACGGATCACCACCTCAAGCTGAACCCTGGCAAGACGGAGCTGCTCTTCCTCCCGGGGAAGGACTGCCCGTTCCATGATCTCGCCATCACGGTTGACAACTCCGCTGTGTCCTCCTCCCAGAGTGCGAAGAGCCTAGGCGTGACCCTGGACAACACCCTGTCGTTCTCCGCCAACATCAAGGCGGTGACCCGCTCCTGCAGGTTCATGCTCTACAACATTCGGAGAGTGCGACCCTGCCTTACACAGGAAGTGGCGCAGGTCCTGGTCCAGGCACTTGTCATCTCCCGTCTGGACTACTGCAACTCGCTGTTGGCTGGGCTCCCTGCCTGTGCCATTAAACCCCTACAACTCATCCAGAATGCCGCAGCCCGTCTGGTGTTCAAACTTCCCAAGTTCTCTCACGTCACCCCCCTCCTCCGCACACTCCACTGGCTTCCAGTTGAAGCTCGCATCCGCTACAAGACCATGGTGCTTGCCTATGGAGCAGTGAGGGGAACGGCACCTCTGTACCTTCAGGCTCTGATCAGTCCCTACACCCAAACGAGGACATTGCGTTCATCCACCTCTGGCCTACTGGCTCCCCTTCCTCTGCGGAAGCATAGCTCCCGCTCAGCCCAGTCAAAACTGTTCGCTGCTCTGGCACCCCAATGGTGGAACAAGCTCCCTCACGACGCCAGGACAGCGGAGTCACTCACCACCTTCCGGAGACATTTGAAACCCCACCTCTTTAAGGAATACCTGGGATAGGATAAAGTATTCCTTCTAACCCCCCCCCCCCCCCCCAAATTGTAAAGTGGTTATCCCACTGGCTATAGGGTGAACGCACCAATTTGTGAGTCGCTCTGGCTAAGAGCGTCTGCTAAATGACGTTAATGTGCCCTTGAGCAAGGCACTTAACCCTAATTGCTCCTGTAAGTCGCTCTGGTTAAGAGCGTCTGCTAAATGACTAAAATGTAAAATGTAATGTAAATGTCATATTGAATAATATTCTGTGTGTTTTAATGGAATGCTAACCAACTTCATAGCTTCTACACTACAGACGCTTATGTCCCTTGGCTCCATAATAAACCATCGTATTTCAAGTAGGAGGCTATCTCAGATCTCAACGCTCTGATTTCTAGCTTTTTTTTTTTGTTGCAGGAAGAGAAGTGCCAAGTAATTAACCTAAATGTGTGTAGACACATTCGCCCCCTCCAATCCCCTTTGGTCCCAGTAACCGAGCCACTTCAGCACAAGGTCTCTGCAATAACAACATAGGGGCTGAGGCCTATCTCAGGGTCAAAGGTGAGCGTTGAATATGTCATCTAAAATTATATTTATGTAAATGAAAAAAAAGGGTGTTAAAGTGTGGCATGCTGGTTATTCATCAAGTAAATGGGCTTTCATAAGGAAATGAATTATGGCGTGTTCTCTGGCGGGCACAGGCTAGTCAGCGTTCTCTTCTCTGTGGACAGATTGATGCATTCAATCCCACTTTCATTTGATTAACTTTTCCAATTCTTTTTGTGAAAAATTTACTTTCGTCTCACACACGGTTTATTCGAAATGTATTCAAATGTAGTTTTGATCAGTGTTTACATTATTTGAAATGCCAATTAACTTGGATCTCTCAAGGGAGTTTTGATACGAAGCTGTAGACAGCTTCTTTAACAAGACATTTGCAGATAGTCATTTGTAACAATATATTTCTCAGGTCACTGTAATCAGATCTACTTTGTACAATAAATGACAGTAATTATGAATT